CACTTGCTAATTGAACAACATCTAAATCTGTATAATCAATATCTGCATATTTTTCAACTAACTTATTAAGAAGTTTTTTCTATTGTAATTTGTTGGAGATTTTTTCAGAAATGGCTTAGAAGGCAGCTGTGAGGAGCAAATTCTCACAGCCTGTTTCTGCAAACAGTTGAAGTTCTCAGGTTGTTTTTAATTACATGTAAAAGTGACAAACATGAAGACCTTGAGAACCTTGCATACCAGAGTTCTCAGGCAGCTTTCTCATAACAAGTAGTTATTCTATCTTTGGCTGTTTTGGGAAAGCAAAAATAATTTTGAGAACCCAAATCTTGGTATTGGAAACATAAGGAGGGGTTGGTGTGTTATCTCTGACCTATTGTGAGCTCGGGTTTGCAATAGGCATGAACTTAATTAACACGGTTATACAAAGTGATTGATTGAGGGAATAAACGGAGTCAGATGCTGAACAAGGAAGTTGGGTCTCTCCCTCCATCTTCAATAGTAATTCTCATAGTAGGTACTGTGAATTGGTTAAAATTAGAGAAGCCACATTTCGACAGTCAGCAGGGACTAAATTATAGGAATAAAAAATACTTTTCAGCGCATTGTTAAAATAGGCAGAAGATAACTCACTTTCTTTCAAAGCTTGACGTAATTCTTTTACGTCATGGTGGGTAAGTCTTCCGTATTGTGGGTTACGATCATTGCGACTATATCTTACAGGTAATGCAAGGAGTTGTTTCTTTGAGTCTAAATATTTTTCTAATTTTTGATTAATGTGAGACTAATTAGGCAGCTTTAATGAAAAGTCAGAACTGGAGCTGACAGTTCCACTGACAGCAGCTGTTTTGGGAACTCTGCCAGTGTCTGAATTCTTGGCAGGGAGGTTGCTGTAGCAACAAAGTTTCTCGGAAACTCTGCCAATATGGACAGAAGAACACACCCTTGAATTCTTGGCAGAGACATCTAAACAACATGCTCTCTTTGGAGCTCTGCCATGAGGGGCAGAGGAGGGCTCAGCTAAACTACACATTCCTTTTGAAGCTCTGCTAGAAGGGGCTGGGCAAAGGGCGTGTTCTTTGGACTGAGGAGGAAAGCTAAGATTCAAACTTCTTTGGGAAAGCGACTTTGGGTTTGTACTTCTGATAATTTCTAAAGAACAATGGCATGTTTCACAAAGTCCCTTTGCTTGTGGAGATTCAGCTGGAGAACAGCTAACATCAGACTGAGAATTTAACATCTTATCTTTTCTCTCAACAGCAAAAGAAATAGATTTCTAATTCTTTAAAATCTCAGCTTGTTTCTCCTCAGAAACCCTTCAAAAATCTCTTGCTCTTTCCTCAAACTTCTGTATGGGCAGAGTCCCCTTAGTTTGGCTCAATTCTTGGCTGCTGCTTGCTGCATTTGTCTTCTCTTCTGCCCTGTCCTGTGGAGGAGCTCTATTCACTGCTATTTCATCTTGTACATCAAAAGGCTGGCGAACAACAGAAAAACCTGGCAGAGGCTTATTTGAACAATTTACCAAAAAAGAACTCTTTGAATCACAAAGCATTTTACCTGCTTGAACCGAATCTGAGGGGTTGCTTTCTTGAAAAGGGAAAACAGTCACAGGAGTGACCCTTACAGCTCTTTGACTAGACAAAACAGACTCTAAACTAGTTTCTGCTGTCTTTGCATTTACAATTTTAGAACACATAATTCTTTTGTCACAAAATGTCTGCAAATTCACATCTTTCTGCGCTGCTGGCACTCGCCCTTAAACAAACTTCATGAACTCTTATGTTCTCGGAACACAATGAATATTCTGAACGCTTTTCTCAACACGGAAAGAGTTCATCATTTTTTGGACGGGTGCTAGAGAGATTATTTTCTGCACCATTTTGCCATCGGCAATTTATATACAACCACGACCAGGGACAGGACACTCGAATCGGTGCCGTGAGCTGTTTATTTCAAACATCAGTTTCAGTACATTGTTATGACAATGGAGACAAGAGACGTGAACAACTCACTGATTCAAATGGAATGCCAAGGAAACGTAATGTTACAGCATAGCATAAAGCCATCTCAGTCCAAGTTCCAGCCAATCACACATAGAGCAAAAACATATTGACAATAATTCTATCCAATCATATGAAGCACACGTAACTGCAGTTAACACAATAGAGACTTATTCTCTAACACAATGCCTCGTTTATGAGAGACAAAGCACAGAGACTCATTCATATTAACCTTCTAAAGATATACATTAAATAAACTTGTTGCAACCTAAAAGGGCAAATCACAGAGGCTTATTGTTCTATTTCTCACGTCTGCGCTACAGCTTAGAAAACTTTCTGCTGCATTAGCAATGTTCACAAATCTGCTGTTTGAGGCTTGCCTTTTTTACCATTTTCTCAAAACCCTCTAATTTTATAGATCCTAACCTCCATTGTCTTCTGTTGTCCTTTATAAACTTTTTAAATTTTCACAGGAGAGTGAACGTGTTTTTCACACAGGGAATACCAACAGACTGGGGAGATTTCAAGTAGGAGGGGACACAGAGACACACCAGAAAGCCCCCCTAAATCATCCCTTTTCCCTCCCTGCACTGGCCTAATTAACCCCTAAAATGCCTCCAAAGTGTCCCAAGTCTTGTCCATGGATGGGGGGGTGAGTGGGGGCATCAGAACACACCCATGTCTCAGCAGATGCATGCCCAGGCAGGTTGAGGAGCGAGGCTGAGAATGCTCCTAAATTTCCCCCGGCCTGATGACATAGCAGGGATTACTGCATCTTGTCAGCCCACATTTGTCAGAACAAATGGGTTCAGGCTGAGCATTGAGCTTGCAGAGTGTCTCTAGGCACTACCCCCAGGCTCTTTGTAGCTTTGCCAGCCTGTTCCTACCTGCTCCATTTCACCACACAATGCAACTGCCTTTGAATGTGCAGTTCAGACTCTGGTCTCCTGGATTAATTAATTAATTAATTAATTAATTTTTAAATTCAGGTTTAGAGCTTGACTAAACTTGAAAAGTTGCCTAAGCTTGAAAATGTTAGGGTTCCTTGCCTAAAACTATGAGGGCTGTCATGACCATCATGGAGCTGGTGAGATCACCACTTCTCAGATTCACTCTTGGGTGGCAGAACATGCATTGAATTTTCTTGGCTCCTTACGGATCTGTCAGCGACTGAAATTACCATAATAAACAAAAGGCAGATGCCATTTAGCCCACGAGCTGCTGGGAGCCAGCAGAAGAGATGCTTGCTCTCATTTCCTCCACTCAGTTTCTCCAATCTCCAGCTGTCTATTTCCCAGACAGAATGAAAGTGCTGATCTTACTCCTGATCCTATGGAAGGGCACTCTAAACTGTTTTTACATGAAGTAAACAGACAATCCTATGATCAGAACCAGGGAGACCCTGCATGCAGCTAGGAGGAGGAGATGCACAAATGGGTTTGTGGAGTGTGTGCATCTGAGTGCTTGGCACAGCAGCCCCACCAGAGTACAAAGCTCCAGCAGACACTGGGGCACAGGGCATCCCAATGCCATCAGGCTACAGAGGGACAGAACATGTCTGTATTTCTGGAGTGATGTGGGATCCCAGTAACTGGAATCAGCCTGACTGGGAAAGAGTGGCTCAAAATACCCCACTGTTACATTCCCAGATGCTCTGTGGATTCTTGGCAAAGGCCACCTAAGGAGAAGGTGTGAAAAAGGAGGTTTAGTCTCCTGTAAAAATTTAAAAGTTTAATAAAGGATAATAGGAGACAAAGACAATAAAGCAAAGATTTACAGCTGTGTGCTTGGAATTTTGCCAAGACCACACCTGCTATTTCTGTCTTTATGTAAAGATGCCCTTTACATACCTTTCCTATTGCATCAGCTTATTGCATATTCATAAAGAAGTATGAATATTTAAAATTTTCTCCAAACTAGTTTACATGTTGCAAGAACTGCTTATTATTGTTGGCTCCTTCTTGGATCTGCCTTTTTAGAGCATGCATATTTTTTGGCTGTAGTTTTGGTCTGTTCTTGTTACCACCTCCACTTTGGACTTTGGTCCATATTTTCTACAGATGGTGGGTGCTGATAATTGGCAGTAGCAGGGGTCTCCATCACATGTTCATTGAATGTTACCCCAACCAAGCAGGCATTTTAACACAAGGATCTCACTAACATCTCACTACTATGTCTAAGTTTAGTTAACAACAGAAATAACAAAAACCTCCTATATCTTTATAGCATAGTTACTTTAATGTTATACATGTAGCATCCATTAATATTTGTGAAAAGCCAATATTGTAACATGTACTCATAACAAAGGGATTTCAGTTTTCCATAGCAGCTTCTGACAGGACTTGTCCTCTAACCCTTGCATCAGCTTTGTTGCCACTCTTTAAATAACTTCATATTCTTCTTAAATAGGGGGCCTAGAGTTGCACATGAGGTGAGGCTGCAGGCACGCCCCTTCCAAGGGAGGGTCCTATCTTCCTTAACAGACACCTGTCCTTCAAACCAAGACAGTTTTCTAGAACTCTAGGAGCCCTGGCAATCAGGCAGTTCTTCACTTATAGTACCACTTGTCTCACAGCCGGGCAGCCTGTCCAGAAGGCTGATGTTAGTGTCACTATCAAAAGCCTCACTATAACCCAGGAAACCTTCAGAAAACATCTTTCTGTCATGAGGCAGGTGGCTCATAGTAGGATATGAAATTACTTAGGATTTTACCATATCAAATAATTTCTAGGGCAATGAGAAATACTTCTGGCACAGACTTTGAAGGAAGAAACAGCTGTGAGAAGTGACACTAAGGGGCAAGCTGAGTGGGAATCCAAGAGTACTTCAGATGTCATCCTCTAGAAAAACAGAATTGCTCCCATTTTCAAGTTAATTTCTCTAAAGGGTGACTGTGAAGTCCCAGGAAAACCCCACCTTCATTCCCTAGGTAACCTGCCAACAAAATCATCAGTCTTACAGAAGAATGATCCTTGATCTTCAAACAGAGTCACACCCCAAGTTAATCCCTGGCTGTTTAAGTCTTAATTTCAGTTTAAATCTTCAAAGTTACTTCCTTAAGGAGCTGATCAAAGTTCACCTTTCATCTATAGATTGGAGACGTGGCAATCATTCTTACCTGACAACAGGTAAAATCCAGCTCTAATTCTAAAACAGCATATTTTGTGGTGTTGAGCTGGATCTCTGCTTATCTTAAAACTTTCATTGACATTGAAGCTCCATTTGCACCTAATTGCCTATGTCACCAACACAGAGCTGTCATATAGCAGATAAGATTTGACCTTCAGGCAGCAAAGTGAGTTTTAGGCAAAGAGATACCACATTTAAACTTCAGGATCTGATTCTTCTGTTCATTTTCCTTCCCTTCTGCCACTGGAAATTTCTCTGGCAAGAAGAAAAATACCTGTCCGATATCAGTGCTCATCTTTGCTGACTAAGGCAGGTAAGCAGATCTCTGTTATTTCTTTCTCTCCTGAGCAAGTGGTGAATATGGTGCTGCTGTTGGGGTGGAAAGGAACTGGTCTTTTCCCTTCATCCCAGTTGTGCACACAAGCTCTTCCCATCCCCCAGGTCTCCTCAGGTGCAGGTGGCAAGAACTGAGGGCATCAACAGCACAGCTGTTCTCAAAAGGGCTCAGAGAGGAACTAAAAGTTATAGGGAATGGTCGTTTGGGGGGAAAGTTGAGATCTGGACTGGCCTTCTGAGTCTGATGTTTGTTTCCCAAGGACTGTTCTGCTACTGTCCAGGGGAGGCAGCAGAGCAGGAGAGAATTCCCCCTCTGGAAAGGATAGTTGGGCCCAGGGTACCCCCTTAAGGCAGGACCTTGAGGCAAAGTAGGACTAATTATAATGCTGGAACTTCCTTCTCAGTAAGTGAGGCTGGTTCCAAGTATGATCACTCAGAACTCTTTCCTGTTGGAAGTTGAAACAGTGTGAAACTGCCTTGATTTTATAGTAACTCAGGATGATGATAACTCCCAGAGCATCCACGGGGGAGTTGCTCATACAGAAACATTATTAAGCTTAAAATTTCCCAATTAGTACCTTGATTGATTGATTGATTGATTGAGCTTACGAATTTATAAGCAGCAAACCTCAGGTCATCATGGCATTGTCTAATTAATTAATCTCATAATTCCACAGTGTTCAGGGATCTTTGGGGATCTGACAGGTGTTAGAGTCAAACTCACTCAATTTTCAGCCCTTCTGCTGTAGCACTGATTCTTGCTGTTAGTTGCTCTCTGTCCCTGTGTGTCTGTTCAGCAGGGCTAAAGAGGAAGCTTAGAGGGATGGAGAAATTCTACCTTTGTGTGTTTCTTGTTGTGTTGAGCTTTTTACACCTGTGTTCCCATGGCAGGGCTGCTTGAGAGGGCTTAAAACTAGGTTTAAAGGGGTAGAGGGATGAAACCAGGCTCTCCAGAAAGAAGCCCAAGGGTGGTAAGGCAGAGTAAGTGCAGGTACACTAGTGCATGCAGCATGGATAACAAACAAGAGGAGCTGGAAGCCACTGTACCGAGGAAAGCTATGATGTAGTCTCCATCATGGAAACGTGATGAGATGACTGTCATGACTGCAATAGATGGCTACAAGCTCTTCAAAAGAGTGAAGAGGTGGAGGGGTGGCTCTGTGTATTAGGGAGACTCTTGACACCATGGATATTAAAATTAATTAATTAATGATAAGGTCGAGTGCCTATGGGCAAGAATCAGGGGGAAGGCCAACAGCCTGGTGGGAGTCTGTTATAGATCACCCAGCCAGGATGAAGAGGGGGATGTATTATTCTACAAGCACCTGGAGGGTGTTTCAGGATCACCAGTGCTTGGTTCCTGTGGGACATTTAACCTGCAAGATGTCTGCTGGAACTTAACACAGCAGAGAAGTGGCAGTCCAGGAGGTTCTTAGAGTGTCTGGAGGAGAACTTCTTGTCACAGCTGGTGAGTGAGCCTACCAGGGGAGGGACTACACTTGACCTGCTGTGTCTGGGGTACAGTGATAATGAAATAATAGAATTCTCAATATTCTGTGAAACAATGAGGGGCCTCAACAAAGCTTCCACTCTGGACTTCCTGAGAGTGGACTTCAGCCAATTGAAGAGACTGATTTGGAGAGCACCTTGGGAAAAAGATGAACATACTTGAAGAAAGAAATCTTGAAGGCACAGGAGCAACCTGTCCCTATGTGCTGCAAGATGAGCTAGTGTAGAAGATATCTGGCTTGAATGGACAAGGAGATTTTGAAGGAACTGAGGAAAAAAAAGGCTTATTTTCTTTAAAAAGAGGGGCAGGTAACTCAGGAAGTGATTAAGGATGTTGTTAGCTCATGCAGAAAGAAAATTAGAGAGGCTAAAGATCAATTAGAGCTTAATCTGGCCATTTCTGTAAAGAACAATAAAAAGCATATCTAAAAATTTACTAGCAAAAGGAGGAACAAGGAAAATCTCCATTCTTTATTGGACTTGGGGGGGGAATATAGTTACCAGAGAAGATGAAAAGGCTGAGGTATTTAAAACCTTCTTTGGCTCAATTTTCAAAAATAAGACATATTGTCCTCAGGACAACTGGGTTCCTGAGCTAGTAGATGGGGATGGGGAGCAGAATAGCCCCTCTGTAATCTAGGAGGAAGCAGTTAGAGACCTGCTGAGCCACTTAGATGCTCACAAGTCTATAGGACCAGATGGGATTCATCCTAGGGTGATGAGGGATTTGGCAGAAGAGCTCACAAAATCACTCTCCATCATTTATCAGTTTTGGCTCACCAGGTTGGCTCCAGAGGACTGGAGGTGCCAATATGATGGCCATCCACAAGAAGGGCTGGAAGGAGTGATTTGAGGAAAGAAAAAAACTCCACAACTTTGGAAAAGTTGTAAAGCCGGTATGTTTACTACAGCACTGGGCAATGTGGGGATCACTCCCCTTAAAAGACATGCATACCTCTGGGAATTCCAGATCCTTTTTTAATTTCCCTTATTAATCCATATGCATGGAATTTCATAATAGGTTGATATGGACACATATTAATTTTACTGATTTCACATTATATTTGTAGCTAGTTACACTTGCAGCTAGTTACCTTTGCAGTTAGTTTTTTATCTGAAAATACAGAAAGAACTCCTGAGTCACCCTGCCCTGTCTCCCGCAGCCTCTCTGTCTGTTTTAAAGCCCAAGGAGCCCCTCTCTTATCTCTGTCTTTTGGCTGAAGCAGCTTCTTTGAGCATAGGTTTTTTTGCAAGAGCAGGCAGTCAGACCAAAAGGCTATGTTTGCAAGTTACAGACTTAATTCAAGACTTAATTTACCTAAATCCAAAATGGATTTCTACTCTGGAAAATTTCTACTCTGTCTCAAGAGGATCTCAGAGTGGGAAACTCTGGGCCTATCAGCCTGACCTCAGTGGCAGGAAGATTATAGAACAGTGCCATCACCCTGGGTGCCATCATATGGTATCTATAGGGTGGCTAGGGGAGCAGACCCAGCCAACATGGGTTTAGGAGGGGCAGGTCCTGCCTGACCAACCTGATCTCCTTTTATTAAGAGGTGGCCTGCCTGGTGGATGTGGGGAAAGTTGTGGGTGTATCTACCTGGACTTCAGCAAAGCCTTTAACATCATCTCCCATAGCATTCTCCTGGAAAAGCTGCAGCCCACAGCTTGGACAGATGCATCTTTGCTGGGTTAAGGACTGGGTCATGGTGGACCCAGAAAGTGATGGGGATGATGCTGTATCCACCACACTGTGGTGTCCCCCAGTGATCAATGTTGGTCCCAATCCTATTCAATATCTTTATTGATGATCTAGATGGGGGATTGAGTCTGCCATTAGCAAATTTATGGATGACACCAAGCTGTGTAGGAGCACTGATCTGCTGGAGGGTGGGAGGGCTCAGCAGAGGGACATGGACAGGCTGGATAGATGGGCCAAATCAAACAATATGAGGTTCAATAAGACGCAAGTGCCATGTCCTGCACTTCTGCCACAACAACCCCCTGCAGCACCACAGACTGGGGACAGTGTGGCTGGACAGCAGCCAGGCAGAAAGGGACCTGGTGGTACTGGTTGACAGCCGATTGAACATGAACCAGCAGTGTGCCCACATGGCTATAAAGGTCAATGGCATCATGACCTGGATCGGGAAGAGTGTGGCCAGCAGGACTAGGGAAGTGATTCTTCCCCTGTACTTAGCACACGTGAGGCCACACCTTGAGTTCAGTGTCTAGTTCTGGGAGTGGCCACCTCACTCCAAGACCTTTGGCTTCATGAATGATATGGGACTTGATGGTGATTTAACACCAGATGGCCACTAAGTACCACACAGTTGCTCACTCACTCCCTGGTGCCCTACAGCCCCTTGGAAAACTAAAACTTGTTGGCTGAGATAAGAAGAGCTTGAAACAAAATAAAACAAGCAATGGCAATTAAAAAAAAATTGTTGAAAAGAAGAGAGGGAAAAGAGAAAGAGATAAATAGAGAGAAAGAGAGAGAGGAGCAAAACCCAAGTGATGCCCAAAGTAATTGCTTGCCAACCACTGACTGATGCACAGCCTGTACTTGAGCATCAATCAGCCCGCTTCCAGCCAGCTTCCCACAGTTTACATAAAGGTCATGATGTTCTATGGTCTGGAATATTCCTCTGGCCAGTTTGGGTCAGTTGTCCTGTCTGTACTTCCTCCTCACTTCTCATGCATCTGTTTGGTGGCAGAGCAAAAGATGTTGAAAAATCCTTGACCTGGGGTGAGCACAATGGAGCAATAATCTTATCAACATTGTTCTCAATACCGAATCCAAAACACAGCCCTAGACCAGCTACTTGGGAAAAAAAGCATCTCTATCCCAGCTGAAACAAGAACAGAGAAGTCACAGCACTCATTTACCTCCATGTACCATAAATAGAGCTCAGAACAACCAGTGAAGAGCCTGTGCTATGGAGATCAGAGTGGACATGAATCCTCATCTTAGTGGTCAATAATGAATTTGAAGAAATATTTCTGGAAGTCCCTGTCTTTCCTTAGGAAGTGAAAGGGGGAATTTGTGACTAAAACCATGTGAATTGAACATTTGCCCTGTCACTGCTCTTGATCCATCACCATGCCTGTTCTAACAGCATCCAATTTAGTCACATGAAATGTTGCTCTGAGGCCTGTTGGTCATCTTCTCTGGGAAATATCCACACACTACAGTGTAGGGTGAAGGACTCCTGCTTGGAAGTCATCAGGATGTCTCACCTTCTCTACTGCTCATTAAATATGGAATGTTGAACATGAATAAACTAATAAAGATATCACACCAAATGTGCTGCTGTGGGGGCTGAGGTCAGGCACATCCTGGAAATGTGAAAATGCACTGAGAGAGCTAGAGCCAGAGAAGGAAAGGATCTTTAGTGTAGTGCAGCAAAGTCAACCCTGGTGCAAGTCCCTAAATGATTTCAGGTTTATTCTGGAGCTGATGCACTGTCACTCTTTAGCCTAATTGTTTCCAGAGGGTGATAACTTTGGGATAGCAAGTGCCATGGATTCCCCTTCCTCCAAGGGTGGGCATGGGATGGCATAAACTCTTTCTTCCTACTTTTCCTCCCATTTCAGTGTATGGACAGAGACACTCTTGCAACCCAACCTTCCAGAAAGGCTGTACATATTTTCAGGAAGAAATCTTGAAGGTGTAGGAGCAACCTGTCCCTATTGCTGACAGATGAGATGGTGGTGGAGGAGACAGGCCTGTCTAAATGGGGAGATTTTGCAAGAAGTCAAAATAAAAAAGATGGTGTATGACCTTAAGAAAAAGGGGCAGGGATCTCAGAAAGAATACAAGGATGTCATTAGCTCATATAGAAAGAAAAATAGAAAGGCATAAGCTCAGTCAAAACTCAATGTGGCCACTGCTTTTAAAAGATAATAAAAAGTGGTTTTATAATTATATCAACAACACAAGGAAGACCAAAAAAAACCCTCTATTCTTTATTGGATGTGGGGGAAAGAGTATCACCAACAATGAAGAAAAGGATGAGGTTCCTAACACCTTCCTTGCCTCATTCTTTAACAGTAAGATCTCTTATCCTTAGCACAAAACTGAGCTGGTACATAGAAACATGGAGCAGAATGGACCCTCTGTAACTCAGGGGGAAATAGTGACCTATTGAGCCACTTAGACTCCCACAAATCTATGTGATCAGATGGAATTCATCTGGGGCTGATGAGGAAGCTGGTGGAAGAGCTTACCAAGGTGCTCTGTATCATTTATCATCACTTCTGGCTCGTAGGGGAAGTCCCAGATGAGTGTAGCTGCCAATGTGATTCCCATCTTCAAGAAAGGCTGAAAAGAGTCTCTGGGAAACTCCAGGCTTGTCAGCCTGACCTCAGTGCCTGGCAAGATTATGGAACAGATAATCTTAAGAGTGACCACAAAGCACATACAAGACAACCAGGCAATCAGGCCCAGCCAGCCTGGGCTTAGAAGGACAGGTCCTTCTTGGCCAACCTGACCTCCTTTTATGACCAAGTGACCCATCTGGTGCATGGGAAAAGGCTGTGAATTTGTCTATCTGGACTTCATTAAAGCCTTCAACCCAGTCTTCCGCAGCATTTCCTGGAGAAGCTGCAGCCTACAGCTTAGATAGGTGCATCTTCACTGGGTTAAGAGCTGATTGGAGGCTGGGCCCAGACGATGGTGGGAATAATGCTGCATGCAGCAGATGTCTGGTCATCAGCGGTTTCCCCTAGGGAGCAGTTGTGTTTAAAATCTTAATTGATGAGGAGATTGAATGTACATTCAGTAAATTTGTAGATGACACCGAGACGGGTGGGAACATAGATCTCCTGGAGAGTGGAAAGGCTCTTTAGAGGGAGTTAGGCTGGATCAGTGGGCCAAGACCAACAGCACGAGGTTCAACAAGACCATGAGTTTTGTCATACAATTTGGCCACCACCACTTCCTGCAGCACTACAGGCTAGGAGCAGAGTGGAAAGTGGCCAAGCAGATAAGGATCTAGGGGTACTGGTCAACAGTGTCTGAACATGGCCCAGCACATGGCCAGGTAGGCAAGAAACCTCTGTTGTCATGCTTTGTATATGGAATAGTGCGGCAGCAAGACTAGGGTAGAGATTGTCCCACTGTACTTGGCTGTAGTGAGGCCACAGCTTGAGTGCTGTGTCAAGTTCTAGGCCCATCAAAGACATCGAGGTGCTGGAGCAAGTCCAGAGAGAAGGGAAGTGAATCTGGTGAGGAGTCTGGAGCACATGTCCGATGAGGAGTGGCTGAAGGAGTTGTGGTTGTTTAACCTGGTGTAGTGGGTTGACCTTGGTTGGATGCTACCAAGGTACCCATCAAAGCTTGCTCCATCACTGACCTTCTCAGCTGAACAGGGAAAGAAAATATAGTGGAAGATTCATGAGTTATGGACCAGGAGATATCACTCACCAAATACTGTCAAGAACAAAACAGACTCGGGGATATTAATAGAATTTGTTACTAAAAAAAGCAGGGAAGGGCAATGGGAAGTAAAATTAATCTTAAAAACATCTTCTCCCCACCCTTCCCTCTTTCCCAGCTCTACCTCTTCCCCACAGTGGCACAGGGAGATGGGGAATGGAAGCAATGGTCAATTCATCACACCTTGTTTGTGACCCTGCTCAGGGAGAGGAGTCAGAATCCTTCCTCTGCTCCAGTGTGGGGTCCCTCCCAGGGCAGACACTTTTCCACAGACTTCTTCAGTGTGTGTCTTTCCCATAGGCAACAGTTCTCTGTGAACTGTTGCAATGTGGGCCACACATTCATGGGGTCTGTTCTTCAGGTACAGTCCATGCCAGTGTGTGTTGCTCACAGGATCACAAGCCATACCAGGAAACCTGCTCAAGCCTAGGCTCTTCTCTCCATGGGTCTGCAGGTCCCTGCCAGTACTCTGCTCCAGCATGGGCTTCCCATGGGGTCACAGCCTCTCTTGGGCATCCACCTGCTCCAGAGTGCAGCTCCTCCAAAGGTTGCAGGTAGATCTCTGCACTGTGTACCCTCCATGGGCTGCAGGGGCACAGCTGCCTCACCATGGGCTTCGCCACAGACTCTCAGGGGAATCTCTACTCTGGTACCTGGAGCACTCCTGCTCATCTTTTTGCACTGACCTGGCTATGTGCAGAGCTGTTCTTCTCACATGCTCTCACCTCACTATTCTCTGGTCTCAGTTACATCTGCACAATAACTTTCTTTTTAAATATGTTATCACAGAGGCATCATCACAATCCATGTGTAGCTCAGCATTAGCCAGCAGGGGGTCTGTCCTGGAGCCGGCTGGCATAGGTTTTGTTGGGCATAGGGAAGCTTCTCACAGAAGGCACCCTTCTGGAACCCCCCTGCTACCAAAACCTGCCCATGTAAACTCAACAGAGTGAGAGAAGGGGTGACCATATGACTCTCTATACCTGAAAGGAAATTGTAGCAAGCTGGGAGTTGACCTCTTCTCCCAGAAAACTAGCAAAATGCCAAGAGGAAATTCAAGCCTTAAGTTGTGCTGAGGAGGTTTAGGTTGGATGTCAGGAACAATTTCTTCACTGAAGGGTGGTCAGGCATTGGAACAGGCTACCCAGGGAGGTAGTAGAGTCAACATCCTCAAAATGCTTAAGAAAAGACTGAATGTGGTGCTAAGTGCCTGGTCTAGTGGTCTTTGATTAAAGATTGGACTCTGATCTCAGAGGCCTTTTCCAACCTAAAGATTCTGTGATTCCAAACCAAAGATTTAAATTGGTGTTTTAAGGTGTCCATTACATTTTGAAATAAACAGGGCCAGGAGACTTCTTCTCCTTTTTAATGCCTTTATTAAAAGTGATCAGCTCATGATTGGGCGGCTCAACAGGGCTGCAGTCCCCATCGTGTCTCCCAGGGTGGCTCAGAGGAGGAGGATATGCGCAGCTCTGTCCGCTAGGGGCAGCGCTGGGGGATCCAGTCCTCGTGGGAGCCTTTAGGGCGTGGTGTCCCTGTCAGATCTTGGTTCTTTGAAATTTTCAGCTGGTTGGTCCCGGCGTTGGGACGACTCTCTGCTCGGGGTGAGAGGGGCTCCGCATCTCTGCAGGCTCAGCACTTGGCCCCTCATGTCCAGACACCACTTTAGTCTCTCAATTCTTATTTGGCTCGTTGTTTTTGGGGTTTTCTCGTTGCATTTTGGAGTGGAGGTCTCAAAGCATTCTGGTCTTGGAGTCACGTTGCATAACCCCCCCCACCCTCTCAGGTGTCTTCCCTATGTTGGAAGAGCGCACTGCCTCGGGGAAGGGCCATCCCCCCACCCAGCCAGGCCTTTTACTAATACAAAAGAGGAGATAAGCCTCAACGACCCGTGATTACAATAACAAAGCACTAAGAACCCTGGCAGAGACAGAGACCTGGCTGCTTGCCTGTAACCCTTTCTCACAGAAAAATATTAACTGAATGTTTGTTCATAACAAATTTCACAGCAGGAAGTAGGGACTGGATTGAATTTTCTCTTGCATTCCCTGTCACAGCTTCCTGAGAGCACGCTAGACTGAAATTCCCAGAATCTGCAAGTAGAATTGAGATCTCTGGAAAGGCACAAGTTTTCTTGATTTCTGATCTCAACTTTTTGAGTTTTGGCACCTTCAGGAGTCACAGCTGCTGACAAGTGCCAGGAGAAAGATCTGAAGGGGTTGGGACAGGATTTCCCTTCTTTTCTCACTTCCCTTCTGTGACTGTTCCAGGTCAGCTGCAGGATCATCCCACCCCTTGGACTGCAGGGATGGAGCAGAAGAGATGGGTCCTGTTGGCTCTGGCACTTCTTCTGGCTATCCCTTTCTCAGGTAATGCTTCCATGAGCTGTTCTGTTCCTTTCATTCTGTTCCTTTCTGTTCCTTCCTGAGGGATTCCAGCCTGCAGATGATCAAAAGTCGTGGAGCTGAGGGCCATCGTCTCCTGAGCAGCCCTGATTCGAACTCCACAAGAGCCAGAGCTGTCCTGCCCCTCTGGTCTTGGGGAATCCAGCCGTTTGAAGTCAGAGGTGAAGCCAGGGAAGACCTAAGCCAAGACAGCTGTGCCCTGTCCTGCTCTGCCCCAGTGCTAGGAGCATTTCCCTGTCTGCATTGGCAGTTGGCATTGTCACAGCCACCTTGCTGCTGGTGACACAGGGCTGAGAAAGGGCAAGGCCAGCTGGGGAGGTGCATGAAATGGCTCTGGATATGCTTTTATGCATTTATTATTTTTTCTTTTCCCCAAAATAATCCCATCCTGTACAACTTGTATCATCCTGTTTTCTCCCTCTAATCTATTACTTTCAGTTGTTCCCCACTGTGACTCCTAGACCTGTTTCCTTCACACCAGTACATTTTCTGATGGATTTCAGCCTGATGCTCACTCACAGACAATTTTGAGCTCACCTCTCTTGAAAATGTAGTTGGAATAGGATACAATGTAGTTGATCAGGATACAATCATTCCTTGCACCATCTCTTCCACGTAGCCACTGGACAACCCCGAAGTGCAGTGGAGAAAAATCACAGATGGGCATAGAGAGAACATCTACACATGTAGGTAGTTTGGGGGTGAACAGATGCAGAAATAGCATGGATGGATATCAGTGCCAACAGATGGATTTGACACTGGGAATGTGTCCCTGACACTGAGGAATGTCCAGCCAGCAGATGAAGAAATGTACAGTTTCACTGTGATATCCAGGGATCGGATTGTTGATATGGCCACCAAGCTCAGCATTGCAGTTGGAGACTTTCTGGGCTGGGCAGGGAAGGGGGGAAGCTCTTACAGAAGGAAAAGAGCTCTCCAAAATATCACTGTACCCCAGCTGATGCCCCCCTCATATGACCCAACACATCACCTCCCTACTCCCAGCATAGGCCAGCTGTCAAGATGTTCTGCAACTTCCATGCCTAGCCTGAGCCCTGTTCTGACCCACATGGGGCTGGAAAATTGCAATAATCCCTGCTGGGGAGGTGTGAGGCTACCTGACAGACATCCAAGTGCTCAGCATCCATGGCTGTGGAACTGATGGGAATGAGGCCCTCTGTCTTGTGACTTCTCAGCTGGGGTAAGGGCTAAGGAGATGTTCTGTGCTGCCGGTTCCCCCCAGCTGGACAGTCAGCACCATTTGTGTGCAGGTATTGATAATGTCAGATGGAGCTGGTGAACCTTTACTCACTAATGAGAAAGAGCATAGAATGACGGAATCAGGGAATCTTAGAATCACTCAAAAGCATGAGTTGGAAGGGACCTTAAAGAATTTCTCATTTGAATTTCCCAGCCATGGGCAGGAGCAAATGCTGTCCAACCTGGCCTGAATACTTCCAGGGATGGGACATCCACAGCTGCTCAGGGCAAGCTGTGCCAGTGCCTCACACTTAGTCAAGAATTTCTTCCTAAGATCGAATCTAAATCCCCTCATCCAAAGGGAATTAGAGATGCTTTTGGGAGAGGAGAGAGAAAAAGCTTCAAGACAGCGCTCATTTCCTAGTATTACACGGGACAAATTCATATAAAATCCAGCTTTGACCAGGAGTGTGACTATGAATTGTGTGTGGTGCATCCCACCTCCTCACACTGATGAAGCTTTGTCACAGTTCCTGTCAGTGACCATCTGTGCCCATCTGTAGTTCTGGCATGGAATGGGGAGGTGCCTGGGCTCTACTGTGCTGTGTCTTGCTTTACCAATCCTCAAAATTGGATGGGGGTCCTACAGAGTCATTCCAAAAGAAGAATACAAAGAACACACCTTCTCCCTGCCTGCTCCATGAAATAATGGGGAGCTGAGAAGCGAATCCATCCCACACCATAGCTCTCTCAAAGCCAAAGGAATTTTGGCATTTATGGCAGATGAAGTGCGGGATGACAGAAAGACCAATGTAAAGGTTTTGTGAAAAACTGACAAACTGGCAGGAAACTCTGGGTTAAGAAAGAGCTGTGAATCAAAGGAAGAGCTGCTTTCAAGGAAACAAACTCCTCTCACTAAGAAACTCCCTTGTCTTTAAGGTATTGGTGAAGTGTTCATTGAAATTCAGGGCCCCCAAGGGTGAGGGCTAGAACTTGGCTGCAGATCACACAGATGGTTTCCAGAACCTGTTGTCCAGTGGGTTACTGAGGATGGCCAGGGGCTCTCCGCAGACACTGAAAGTAATCAGGACAGTGAGAAGTTCTTCAGTGTCTGTAGTTGAGTCACAGTTACAGAAGAGTAAGTGGGAAAAGTCACCTGTCAAATCCTGAACCCACTGGTGCAGAGGGAGAAGAAAACTACTGTGTACATCTCAGGTGAGTTTTGTTGTCCCCAGAAGTCTTTGCTGGAGGCTCACTGTCTCAGGAGCCCTGTGAGGCCCATTGCAGTGCCAGGGAAGCTGACAGCTATCCAGTTCAGCCAGACCCGTCCCAGAGCACCACAAGGCACTGCAGGCAGGACAGGTTGCAGTGTGAGATGAGCAGGATCCCTCTTGCCCCTAGGAATGTGCACATCCTGAGGGAAGGCAGGCTCTGACCACCTGTGTAGGATTGTGACTATTTCTCCATTCATCTCCACAAAATCTCTTGGGGTGGACTTTTTTCCCCAAAGGAATTTTGGAATTTTTTTTTTCCCCAAAGGTTCTGTTTTTCCAGGTGCATCTCAGTGGGTTCCTGCCTCCTGGATACAGCTCCCTTTATTCCTTCTCACACTGGCTGCTGGTGCTGTTCTAGTATTTCAAGGTAAGGCCTCTTGGTTCACAGGACCTCATGTTCTTAGACGTGAGGCTGCAGGATGTAATTCCTCAGCCTCTTGTAAGACTACTCTCTGACAAATAGGATGAAATACCATGTAGAGTCGACTTTTGGCTCACAGATGCATTAGCTTCCACTCAGCTCAAATTCTGAGTTCTCCTGCAGGTAGAATTTTGCTGTCTGCCATCCAGAGGCAGAAGGGAGATGCCATCGCATGCATGAGAGCTTGAGTGGACCATGGCATCTACAGGCAAGAGAAGGAAGGAGGATGGGATTGAGGTACTTTTTCTGGGGTGAATTAGAACGTCCCTTCCTCTACCTCCATTGGTCTCATTCTTCCCAATGGTTCCAGTGGAGCTCATTCATCAGATCTGGATCTTTTTTCCTAGAAGTGTCAGTGGTGCCTCCCACCTTGGTAAGGGCCTGTTCAGAGATCTCTGCCTCTGCAGACATGGCTGGGGAGAAGTCTTGTTTCCCCAGTCCAGTGCCAGGTGTTCCAGCTCTGTGGTGTCTGAGGGCACGGCTATTCCCCTTTCTGGGAGATTTTTGTGGACTTGGTTTTTCTTCCTGGGTGGGAGCTGGAGCAGGGCCCTGCCAAACCTTGGGAACCTGTGGCAGTGTGTCATGGCCAAGGGCCCACACCAGCACCTCATTGCTCATGGCAAGGCAGGACTGACCGCTCCCCAAAAGCTGTACTGACCTCACACCAGTTGCCTCTCTCAAGCTGTGTGCCTTCAGCCTCATCTCCATTTCTGTCTGTATTGTGGTTTAGGAATGGAACTCTCCAATTCACTGCTCCCACTGAGAGTCCCTAATGACACACCATACTTTCAGTCCCCTATTCCTTCTCTCTTCCTGCTGCTACAGGATGAGTTGAGAACTGGAGGCACAAAAGATGAAGATCATGGTTTTAGACAAGAATAATGTACTGGAATCAGCAATGAGATAAGAAAAAAAAAACAATAACAAGAACAATATTAATAAAGGAAGTGTAAAAAAGAGAGAGTCATTCATATGCAAAATCCACATCAAGGACCCCATGACAATAAAAAAATACAGGATGACTTCCCTCCCTGCCCTTTCTTTTTGACCAGAAGGCATCCCTTTTCCCCAGAAGAGACACTTTCCCTTTCCACTTCCCACCAACCCCATGCCAATGATGTGAGTTTGTAACAAATCACATTAGGGTCCTGGTCATGCCCCTTTCCCAGCCACTGCAAAAATTACCCCAGCCTGGCCTGAACCAGGACATTTTCCACCACTTAATTTATACCATCTACTCATTTAAACATCCTACACCCTCCAACATCTATACATAAACATTCACATATATATGTGAGGTATGTTTGTATACATAAGTATACAAACATAGGTATCATCTCCATAGTCAACAGCCATCCCACCAAGATGTCTGCTGAGTTCATTTTATCCATGACTGTAGGTTCTATCTGTCCTAGATGTCTTCCAGAGCAGGAGGGTTGGTGTCTTGTCAGTTGTTTTGCTGCATCAGGACCAGCTACCTGGTGTATCTGGAATGGTCCATATTCATTGTCTATGGTAGTTATGAAAAACAACAGAAGCAGAGAGGGCTCTAGGCAGACTTTAGAGACCCTTTATTACACCCTGGATACTTAAATCCAGGGGTTAAACTCAAAGTTCCTTGATTCTAGATAGCACAATGGAGAAATAAATCCCCACCAGATATTCTCAAGAGCTGAAAATCACACAAAAGTTTACTGCCAAAATATAGAAGATAAAGCAAGCTTTGGCAAAAGGATTAAATACAACATGAAATTCAACATGAAACCACTTATAGTGACATTACTTAGTATTAATTTGATAGCAATTTCATTTACTTAGTCCATTTAACCTAGAAACTTTTAAGTCCTTAACATGTGAAGTTACCACAAAGTTTCATGAAAAGAGAATTAGGAGAAGACAGAGACAAGGACAGAAAAGATATAGAAAAACCACAGGCATAGCTACCAACTCCTAGGATTATGACGTTGGTAAGACCAGAACCCCAAAAAAGCCAGCAAGGCCAGACGGTTTGGTACTGGATGGTCATCCCTTTTAATCCCTTGGCACTTTGTGGGCCCACCTCCTAGACGGGATTTCTGGAACTTCAGCCAATCAGAGGCTGAGCAGGAAATTCCCCCTGCTGTTTGATTGATTGACAGCTCAGTCAATCTGAGGGGTCTGGGGGCAGGGCGCTGTCTTACCTGAAAGAAAGGCCTGACCTGCCTCCAAACACACACACACACACACACACACACACACACACACACGCACGCATGCCCCATACACAGATGCACACAAATAGATACACAAGCACAGACACAGAAATGCAGAGACACAGACACACAGACACAAAATTAGATACACACAAACAGATACAAACAGACACACACAGAGAAAGACACACACAAACAGATACAGACAGACACAAAGACACACAGACACACAGACGCATACAGACAGAGACAGAGATACACACATGGACACAGAGACACACACAGACACACAGAGACACACACAGACACACAGACACATGCACAGACACATACACAGACACACACACGGACACAGAGACAACCAGACACACAAACACAGACAGACACACACAGACATGAACAGACACAGACAGACACATAGACACACACAGACAGACACACACAGGGACACAGACATACAGACAGACAGAGAGATGGCACAGACGCAGACAAACAGGCATGCACACACAGAGACAAACACAGAGATGCAAAGACACACATACACATACAGACACACAGACACACAGAAAGCATTGACTTGAGACACTAAACTTACCCAGTCTCTGACATCTTTCCAGTAGCTTACAAGAAGGCTGGAGAGGGACTTCATACAAGGGCACAGATTACTAGGACAAGGTGGAACTGATTTTAAGCTGTAGGAGGGTAGATTTAAATCAGATAATAGGAAGAAAATCTTCCCTGTGAGGGTGGTGAGGCCCTGGCACAGATTGCTGTAGGAGCTAAGGATATCTCATCCCTGGAAGGGTTCAAGGCCTAGTTGGCTTGGGCTTAAAGCAATGTAGTCTAGTGGAAGGCTGGAAAGAGATGATGGTGGATTGGAAAGAGAGGTCTATAAGGTGTCTTAACACCCAAACCATTGTCTGGTGAGTTGACTTTGCAATTCTGCATTTCTATGAGATTCATTCTCTTGTTAGACTATCAACAGATGACCAAGGGGAGGTCCTATGTGACACAAAGAGAAGCCTTTCCATCAGCGTTCTCTGATGGATCAGTGCCAGGACATACCCAGAGTTCTTGGAAAAAACCTCTGCCAAGCAAGAAGAAGGTGCATGAGGGTCTAGCGCAGTGCAATCAAACATCTCACCCCTCTGGAAATTCCCCCTTACACAGTCCTCCAACAAGTCCTTTGTTGTATTTCCCATCCCCATGCAGATGTTCAGGACTCCAGGTCCCCAAGATACAGAGTTGCCCCAAGAGTGGGCTTTTCCCAGCACTGACCAGGACATCCTGGACTCTTCCGGATCCCATCCTCCCTGGGATCTAAGGCCATCTTTTCTCTCATTCCCATTCTTTCCAGCTGGGATGCTGGCAGAGGAATGTTCTTTGCTCACTTGGCAAACAGCATAGCCTGGGTTCTCCCCTGTGGCCAGACCATTGGGGAGTGAGGAGGCAATGGGGCTCCTTTCAATATTCCTCACCAGCAGCACAGCACCTTCAAGCTCATGTTTAGAAGGGCTCACAGTGATGCTGAGACTCCTTTCAACAGGTAAAAACTGTAGTGGAAAAAAGTTTCCATGTCACAAGGAAGACTGCAGGTCCACAAGAGAGGCCAAGGCTCCTTCCCAGAGTAAACTCTTGGTGGAAGAGGATTTGAAAACCAAGGAAGAGATCAGTAAGGGTGCCTACAGGTCCATCAGAATGTGAAGTCCTCATCTTTGTTTTTCAGGGCTGAGTTATTTTCCAAGGCCTCTGAATTAGAAAGGATTGTCTGAGGAAAGAAAAGTCTGAGAGTATAAATTAGAAATAGGCAGGACATGAGGAAACTGAATTGAATTTCTTGTGCCTTCCCTGCATAAAGAAAGAAAAAGGAAAAAATAAAACCAGATAAGCAGGGCCATTCCTCATCAGGCCTTTATCTTTTTGGAAGCAAACACTGCTCCACAATCAAAATGACTTGTGAGTTAGTCCTTGGAGTGTGTGCCTTGTGCAGAATTTCTTTGGGAGCAGCTCTTATGTTCCATGCCAGTGGAACATCTTTGATTGCTGATATGGCAACTGGAGGTCATCAAGGTCCCTTTTCTCTCCCCTGTCCTTGAAGGTGGTGAAAGAGCAGCGTCTCCTTGGTCTTTTCTAGGAGGAAAGGCCTATGTCACTAGTGGAACAAGTCCTCGCCTCAGGGGAGGAAAAATCATTATCTCTGTGACACCAGTCTTTTTTCACAGGAAGGAGAGTGGACTCCCTGGAAACTGTTTGGCTGAAGAACCACCAGCACCTCTACCAAAAAATTCAGACTCTGCAGGAAGCTTTCCAGAATGAGCAGGAGTCCACACGGTGTGATATTCAGCTCCTCAAAACAGACCTGGAGAATATATTAGGTGAGCAGGGCCATTCCCCCAGCAGCAGGCAGCAGGCTGCCTTTTCCCTAGAGGCAAAAGCTGCTCTACAGGCAAACTGTCCTGGGTGATTGTCCACCACAGCTTCTCAAAGCAGATGGAGAAGTACAATCCCTATGTGGGGAACAGTTTTTTGATCAAGAATACTCAAAGGGAAAACCTGAAGAGACTCTCTGACAGTGAATTTAAATAAGGACTCTGCTCTCTCCCTCAAGAAGGTAATGAGAGTGTCCCAATGACACTGTTCTTTTTCTTTATAGGATTGAGAGTAGAGGCAAATACTACAAAATCTTTGGAATCCATGTGGAAGAAGGATGTCCATGAAGTGTCCCAACAAGTTCAAACTCTGCAGAAAGCTTTTCAAAACACCCACCTGTACACACTGCGAGACCTTCAGATTATGAGAACAGACCTGAAGGATGAACTAGGTGAGCAGGGCCATTCCCCAGCACGACTTCATCTCCCTGAAGGTCAATCTAGCTCTACAGGTAAACTGACCTGTGAGTTCATCATTTACCTTTTGTCAGAAAGGGCAGAACTTCCTTGGGAGCAGCTCTTATATCCCAGTCATCTGGAACACCTTTGTTGCTGAGGTGGCAACTGGAGATGGTCAAGGTCTCTCTTCTCTCACTTGTTGTAAAAGGGAGTGAAAGAACATCTCCTTGTTCCTTTTTAAAAGGAAAGTTTTGTGCCATTAGTGGGACACGACCTCACCTCAAGGGAGAAAAATCATTGTCCCAGTGACACCAGTCTTTTTTCACAGGAAGGACAGTGGAGGCAAATGTCACAGGGAATATAGCATTCATGTGGCAGAAGGACCTCCTGCATCTCTCCCAACAAATTCAAACTCTGAAGCAAACTTTCCAGAACATGAAGCTTGCTATACAGCGTGACTTTCAAATAATCAGAAGAGAGCTGGAGAACAAACTAGGTGAGCAGAAGCATTTCCATGACAGGCCTTCATACCTCTGAAGGCAAAGGCTGCCCTATAAGCAAACTGTCCTGGAACTTGTCCTCCACATCTCCTCAAGGGGGATGGGGAAAGACAGGTCTTACACAGGAAACAGTTTTTGTGCTCTGTGACACCACGCAATCCTCATAAAAAAGAATATTATCTCCCCAGAGTACTCTCTGGAGAGATAGAGTGGGATCATTCCTACCCTCCATCCTTCCCAGGAGGCCTTGGTCAAGACGTTAGGAAGACCCACAGGGAGTGGGAGATGCCTAAGAGAGCCCTAAGAGATGCTCTGACAGGGATTTTATATGATGAGCTGTGATGACGAGCTTTTGAGCATTGTCATTACCGACCAATGGTCTCTCCCTCAAGAAAACCATGAACCATGAAACCTTTGTCTGAATGAAAATGTTCTTTCTTCTCAGGAGAGACAATGGAGGCAAAAACAAGCACCTTAGAAGCCAGGCTGGAGAAAGACCACCATGAAGCCTCCCAACAAATTCAAACTCTGCAGGAAAATTTCCAGAAGAAATATGAGGCCACACAGCGTGACTTTCAGAGGATCAGAACAGAGTTGGAGCATGACCTAGGTAAACTAGGCTATTCCCCAGCAAGCTTTCATCTCTCTAAAGAAAAAAGCTGTTCTACAGGCAAACAGTCCTGTGAACTTATTCTCAGGACTCACCTCCTCAAAGTGGTTGAAGAAGGAGAGTCCTTACATGGCAAAACAGTTTTCTACTCTGTGACACTGAAACACCTCCAAGTTGAGGAGCCCATGACTAGCCCAAGCCTATGCTCACCTGCTCGGCTAGGGGGCATCTCCACGGCCAGTGCATGAGGTGGGGGCAGGAGAGGGCACTGGCAGCACCCAGCACTCTCTGCCAAATGTCCAGGGACGTTGCCCTGGGCAGGTACAGGGTCCAAATCCAATCTCGGGAGCCACTGACCAAGGCTGAGGTACAGTGAACATTCCTGGGACCACAATGGGTTCTGAGGGACAGGTAGGGGATGTCCCACCACATCTTCCTTGTGAAAAAGAGTGTTGTTTCCCAGAGCACACAGATGCTGTCTGGAGAGATGGATTGAGGCCAGTGCTGCCTTCAGCGTTGCCCAGCAGGCCTTGGTCAAGCCTTCAGGGAGGACCACAGGGAATGGGAGAGTCCTAAGGGAAGGTGCTCTGCCAGGGAGTTTAAATCAGAGCTTCAAGGCATTGTGATTGCAGGTTGCCAGTCTCCCCCTCAAGACAGCAATGAGACTGTTCCAGTGAGATG